ATTTACATTAGCAAGACGCCGACTCCTTATTATAATTGATTACATAATTTATATTCCCATAGGCATGGCTATAAAATAAATTAAGAACGAATCAGAGTTAGTAGATTTTCTAAACAAGTCTTTACCCTACTTACTACCTTGTTTAGTTGCTTGTTTAGTAACTTTTCGTCCTTTTCTAACTTCATGGCAAATTTAGTTATTGCATCTAACCCATCTTTTTGTGTTGTCAAACAGCAAAGTAGTCGTCCATATATCTTAGCTATCAGCTTCGAAACTAAGATTGCTTTTTAACTTAAACGACCATCTAATTAGGCTATGTATTAATGGGCTAAAATTAGAGCTAAACACAATCCCACAGCAAGTAATTAGACATATGGACGACTACTTTGGTGCTCGCAAAACATTGAGCCGAGGACTTCGCCGAACAATTCAATAGTCTTCATCCCTCCAAGGCAATCCTCCCTCGGCTTCTGGTGAGGCTAATTCATGAATCACTTTTAAATAACTTTTCCTTCAGAGAGAAAAGTCGTCACAAAATTTGAGGCAGTTTTTACGAGAAAAAAGAGAGGATGTCTCATGGAATGAGTCAGCTTAAGCGCAGTAGTAAAATAAAACAAATCAAGAACAACGGGAATCAGCCGTCGTCTTCTGCTGAGAATGACCTAAGAATCTTCTAACCAAGCAATTTTGCGCGAAAAGAAAGTCCCTACACTGTTTTTTTGACTCCGTATTAGCTTGACGTTATACTGACCCACAAATCGCTTCATCACGCATTTTATGAGAAATGAAATATGGTTCATCGAAAACCAACCACTCTTTTTAAATTGGATTTTTATATTTTTAAAGTCAATATTCTTCTACGAAGAAAAAGCTGGTTCTGATTTTTCTCTTCATATAACATTATAGTGAAAACTTACATTTTGTATTACATTCCAAGAATTAATCCTTGCTCTGAAAATGTTTTTCATATGAAGAACAAAAGCCAAGCACGTTTTCACCCGAAACGAGGCAATATATTTCGCGGACTGTATTAACCAAACGGATTTAGTACGACGGGAATTAGCCTCATTTTGTGATGAAATCGACTTATGAGTCGCTTCATAGTGCAGATCAATAAGAAATGAAAGTCTCCACATCAATATTCTTAATCAGGCTTTCATCATGTATAACAGAAATTATCCACTTAGTTAGAGTATCTGTGTTCTATTGCAAAAAGTTTCCGATATCAGTTCTGAGTAAAAATTTATAAATAATGAAATAAAAATATGTGAATAAGTTGTAACTAAGTGCAAAAACTACCTGAATCCCTTCTCCTGTTACTGCAGAGCAAGCTTGTATCTGCCATGGCCTGTCTCGAATGCTGACTAGGTCTAGACCACGCGAAATCTCATTGGCTGGAGCAGCATTAAGCAAATCTTGTTTGTTGGCTAGTACCAGAAGAGGCACGCCGGCAAGTTTATCCTCACTCAAGAGGTCCAAAAGTTCCTAGTAGATTACAGAATAAAAAATAAAGGAAACTTATAAATAATGAGAAAATAAAAGATTTGTTACTCACATGGAAAAGATGTAGTTTATTATATAAGCAAACTTGATGAACGCGATCAAATAACCAAATCCAAATATGAAACTAAACTTTCTTAAAAGTTGATTGACCTTCTTTTCGCAACTTGGTCATATTGGTAGAATGACTTAGAGGAACGCACCTAGTCCGGAGTCCATAGTATGCGTGATAATTTCCAGAGTCGGACCGTAGGCATGGTACATTCCTAACGTTTCGCCGGCATCGTCAGTGAGTCTTGCCATTCTTAGCACTACACTACAACTCGTCAAAGAGGCAAGTGAAACCTGTCCTTTGATCAATTGTCTGCTAAACAATCGTAATATCTTTCCTTTTGCCCTGGGCTAATTACCAATCATATATCCTAGTATCATACCTTCACAATCACAATTTTTATTTGTTTATTTAATTGTAGTATAGTGTGCCCTTTTGAGCGGAACTCATGGGAACTATCCACACTCCACGCTGGCT